CACCGGGCAGCAACAGGTAAAGGCCGCGGGTGGGGATCCCGCCTTCCCCGCCGGCCATGGGGAACCTCTCTTCGCGGGCCCGCCGGGAGGCAGCCGCTGAGGAGCTCCAGCCTCGTACGAGGTGTAGGGATGAACGCTGAAGGTGTAGGAAGCAGTGCGGGCGGGCCGGGCTGGCCCCAGCATGGCAGCATCCCGACCCGAGCAGGCGGTTTCATCACCTGCATTCCCAGCAGTGGTTACGTTAAGGGTGTTCAGGGTTGCTCAGAATAAGAGGTGGCAATTTGCAAACGCTATTAATCAGATTTCAGAAGTTAAAACTAGTAGGGGCAGTCTGCCTAGTGTGGATAACATGCTTCTAGTTAGGTAGGTAGTTACTCTGACTCGCCAGAGACTGACTGACTGCCGTGAGAGGCAAGGCAGCTGCCTTGGTTTAGCATTGCAGTGTGGTGAGCAGCCTGTTAAAGCCAGGTGATGTTGCAGACTTGCCATTTTTCTGTTGAGGAATGCATGTTTATATTCAGTCATCAGCCTGCCATCAGTCTGCACTCTATTTTTTATACCTGTGTGACTTAAAATTATTTGAACTGTGCCAGTATAAAACTGAAGTAATGCTGTTACCCTCCACTGTGGTGGTGTCTACTTAAAAATAACCAATGAGTATTTAAAAAATAAATACTGGGTTTTTAAAGTGAAATTTAATTTTGTTACGTACAGAATGACAGCCATTCCAGCACTGCAGGTGCTGGTCGACAATTTCAGAACTGGAAGATGAAAGCTGAACAAGCTAAGAAAGTTGAATTCATAAGAACTGCAGAAAAGCTAAAAACCCAGTAAGTTACACACTTTATCATACGTATATTTTCATGCTCTCTGGAGGTAACATAAGTCAGGGTTCAAGATAAGAATTTGTGGTAATGAAACTTTTAGGCCAAGATTTCCTTTTTAGGAGCTCAGGCAGATTATTGTGATTGTTAGAGTAGTTCAGGGTAGGCTTGTGAGCTCCAGAATGCTTTGTTGTTCCACCTACCAGTCATCAGATTTAGCAAGCTATTGCTGCACTAGATGCATAAAAGACAAAGTGTGTTGAGGCTTCTCAATTTTCCTACTCAGCTGTGCTTAGCCTTCTAAGGACCTAAAGCCCTTGAGACCTACCAACAGAAGGGGAATTGCAGCAGCATTGCAGCAGCTTCCTCAGAAGACTGAAAGCATTTTATCTAGAATATCTAGACCACTGCTTTGGAAAATGGGGATTCAAGACAGCTCACAGAAGTTATTTAAATCTGTTTCCCCATGTCCCATGGGTGTGCTGTAGTAGCACAGATGTGTTGTAGAAGTGCAGTAACAACTATGCTGGCAGCTGAAAGAATGGGGAGGTTTCTTCTTGCACAGGTGAGCTTTATGAGGAAGAGCTGATACAGCCACCTAGCTGAAGGAGGGGTTTGTAGTTCTGCATCCTGAATGAACAGTGACACTTAAGTCTCATAGCAGTGTTTTATGTTGTCTGACTGAACTGGCCCTTCCTTGGTTCTTCTGGATCCTGGGTTATGGATCAAAAATTGACTGCTGGGTAATGTTAAATGTTCCCAGGCAGTTTCAGACATGGTATGCCATTTAACTGCAGCACATTGCCCTTCTGTAGTTGTGCTCTGGAGGCTTCTAGTGCACCATGTGGAGAGATGTGGTACTTGGGTCTGGTCTGTGGATTCCAGTGGACTGCAAATCATTTAAACTGTCAGCCTTAAACTGCACCGTGTAAGTGTTTGAACCATGTAACAGCAATAGTCTGCTGAAGAACCAAGCTGCTACTGAGAGACAGGGTTTCTTGGGCTGTCGGTAGAGTTGCTTAGCATTAGGAATCCTACCAGATGTCTGTCTACTGTGTGGCACCAGTGTCCTGCTGTCCTGATCTCTGATGTGGTGGCACCAGACTTCACAGATGTGCTCAGGGCTGCAGTATCTGCAATCCTTTTGCATCATCTGTTCTGTAGGTCAAACCTTAGTGTGCTGCCTGGTTGTAGTAAGGCAGAGCACATCCCAGTCTGAGTTGTCCTTTAAAACTTCTGACCCTAGTAAGAAAGCAAAGGTCACCTATAGCACTGTGGACTGTATGTAAAACATAGTAAGTAAGGTAGCAGCTTTAGTATCTTAAGTTATTTAAATGCTACTGAATTTGAATCTTCAGTTGCAGCAGTGCTACTACTAGTGTAGTAGTAGGATTGAGGAAATGTACTTGTTTTGTCTGTGCTGGGGCTCTGTCTATGTGTGTAATTATATGAATACAGCCTGGCTCGGTCCCTGTGCTTTCCAATGAAAATTCTTGTAAGGCTCCCTGATAGTGAGCATACAGATAAAATTTCAGGCCTTTTCCGTGTGTGAACTACTGCCTGTCTGTGAGGTAATTTCCTTGTTAGCTTCTTTCTCTTGTTCAAGTTCTAGGGTTACTTTATCATGTAGTCTTACATTTGCAGAGAGATTTTCCTTGAAAACAGCCACAGGAACAAACCATGGATTTGTATAAAATCTAAGACAGTTCTTTTCACAAAGCCTTAGCTGGATACTAACCTTGGAAAATATTGGGGCTTTGCTAAGTATTCATGTCTTACTCCGTGTGGCAACTTTTTTTTACAGGCTTGCGAATACAGAAAAAGACAAAAATGGGCATCTTTACAATAGGAAGAGTGATTTCAGGGTAGAATACAGCATACTAGAGGAATTGGAATGCAGCATGACTTTCAGCGGGAAAACTGAAAGTAAGTGGGGGTTTATTATTTTATTTATTTATTTGGAGTTTGTTTGTTTTACTGTTGTTTGTTTAAATGTTTTAGTAATCAGTGGTACAGAGAGATGGAAGGTAGATGCTGATACAAGAATGGTTATTTCACCATGTGTACTGCTTATAAAGAAGACTTTAGCAATTCACTTGCAAAATTCGTAAGAATAAACGTTTTGGGCCTTCTATGTTATTAACTGTTTTCTTTTAATCTTGAATGTAGCAGTTTTAAGCCACAACAACTTTGGTAGCAGTTACTGTTTAGAAACTTGGAATCAATTTTATGTGTGTTTTGCAAAATCTAATATATTCTACCTAAGGTACAATAAATACATACTTACTGCAACGTAAGAAAAAAAAATCAGGTTTTTCCCACACTGATAGCTGCCTACTTTTAAACAGTTCTGTGTTTGCATTTTTCAAATTCTTAGATAATGAATATTCATAGTCTAGATAGTGCTGTGAGATAGTATGCAGTCTGTCCTACAATTTCTGTTCCACTTACAGACTAATTAAATACTTCACAAAAAAGGGTAACTCCCCGGTCACAGTACCAAGTTTCTTTCAAAAGTAATCAGGTAAATAATGCTATGATTCTGATATACAAGATCAAAACAAAAAAAGGTTGCAGAAGGAAAAGAACACATAGAGACAACTAAAAATACACTTCCCTTACAAATTTGTATGTGTGTTAATATGTGTCTTTTAACTGAGGAAACTTATTGTATCCTTTACATCTTGCAGTTCTTAAGAAATGTAAATATTTTTTGAGGAATGTCTAAGCCAAAAAGTTCAGAATATTTTCCAGGGAGCATGGAAGAATGCATGGAGATACTGTTTTGATAGGATAAAGAGGACAGAGATGAGGGGTGCAAGGCACTACATGTAGGATGTGAAGGAGTGTTAAGAGTATGATCTTTTAGTGTGTGTGCTAGAATCCCCAAACTTACTATGTTCAGATCTTTCAGCATGATCTATG